GAGCAGCAGCAGAATGTGCCCATCAAGCGCGAGCCGGCCCCGTTCGCCTACGAGCCCTCGGCGTACGCCTTCCAGCAGCTGGAGGAAAACTATGCCCGCGCCCCGGCTGCCGCCCCCGTCGGCCCGAAGAAGTCGCGTAAGCAAGAGTTTTTCTGCCTAAAATTGCGGAATTAGTTTATGCTCCGCCCGGCGAGCGTCAGCAGCCTCTGATCACTGGGCCCGTGGCCACCCCTTCGGCCCAGTCGACGATGGAGACCACCCAGCTTCCATCGGCTCAGATGGCCCGTGCTCAAGCCGCTCAGCAGCCAGTCATTGCCGAGCAGGAGAACCGCGTAATTATGCAGTATCTACTGGCAACCTCAATTTTCAGGACGAGGCCAACCAGAAAGTTCACTTTGCCGCCCCGCCACCGCAGCAGCACGTTGCCCCGGCTCGCCCTGCCTTCCGCCCGGCCCTCGGCATGTCGACGTACGTCGGTGGTGTCCCGAATGACATGATCGCTGCCTACCACACCGGCATGGTGCCCGCCTACTACCAGCAAGCGGTAATTATCTAAATTAATTTAATTTGAACTGAATTTTGAAGGCCCGCGACGCCACCTCGAACTACCACTTTGGCAACTACCAGCCGAACGTCATCGACTCGGCCGTGACTGCCGATATCCAAGAAGCTGAGGCCGCCGCCATGGCTGCTGCGCAGCAAGTTCAGCAGCCACAAGCGCCCGTCTTCAACATGGCCACGATGGGACAGGCCGTCAACGACATCCAGGCCCAGGTAGCTTCGTACTTCACTTTCGCAACATCCCTTTTTTAGGTGGGCGGCCGCGCCTTTGCCCCGCTGAACATGCCGCCGTGCTCGGAGTACCAATTCGATCAGCTGCAGGATATGGCCAGCTGCAACTGAAAGTCGTCAAGCCACCACCATTGCCCATTTCCTTATCGTTCACTTGTCTTTGTAAAAAAATTACGCGGTTTTGTTAATTGGGCGCCTGTGGTCGAATAAATGTTCGTTGGAGATAATCAGGCACAACTAACAAACACGAGCCAGCGTCGCCCCATCATTCGCGCGAAAGTACAGACCAAATGTTCACATCTTTTCACCCACACACCCAATGACTAGAGGTCGGATTACAGTCCGGATTTTGACTACAAGACTGTCCAAATGCCGTTTTTTAAGCTCGGCCTCTGGAAAAACTAAGCTAAGCCTAGGCTTACCTTCGTGCAAACAAAGCCTGGGCTTAGCTTGAACCAGGCTAAGCTTAGCTCTAAGCTAACCCCTAAATGGCACTTTTTTGACCTCGTAAGGCAAGTAGAAGCTCAGGTTAGCTTAGCTTGGGCTTGGGCTTAAAGGGATACCGACGGCATAGGTCGAGCACCCTGATCGACTTTTTGGCATAGCCAAACGGCAAGTACTGCGCAGGGTGAGACGTAGAGACATTTTCTTTCCCTCGCGTCACCGATTAATTACCAGAAGGTTACAGTCTTGGATATCCCGTACGTTCTTGTATAAGCCAAAAGTGACCTCCCCCCTCGATAATGCCAAACTCCCCATACTGCAATCTTCAGCTCATCCCTAACCTGCCTCAATCCGGCCAACTCCTTCAGCAGCTGCTCATTCTCGACCTCAAGCCGTTCAGCGTCTAATCGACGCACATCGATTGCCTGTTTAGCTTCTTCCAGGCGTACGGAGAGTTTACATATCCAAGACGGGTGTGCCCCTCCGAAGACTTTATTCCCAACTCAAACGCGAAAAAGAGAATTGTCAGCGAAACAAAAACGCAAAACGAGTGAGCGGGGGGTCGGGTCGGGGTGTCAGTGGGTTGGTTCGATGTGCAGGTTGGTAGCCCTTGGGGCGCGGCGTCGTCGACTAGGGCTGCTGCTTCTTTTGCTCTGGGGCGATGGTGGTGGAGGGCGATACGGTGGAGTTGCCTGAAGGTTTAAAACGTTTTTTTGTTACGGGGGGGGGGCCCCCCCCCCCCGGGCCCCCCCCCGGGGGTGGTTTTTTCTTCCCTTTTTTTGTTTGTGGTAGGTTTTTTTTTTTTTTTTTTTTTGTTTTGGTTTGTGTTTTTTTTTTTTTTTTATTTAAAAGAAAGAGAGGGGGGGGGGGGTGGGGGGGGGGGGGGGGGGGGGGGGGGTTTTGGGGTTTTGGCCGTTTTTTAAAGCAGGCAGAGAAACGGAAAGCTGCGCGCCCTTATCCACCTTCATTCTCCGCCGGAATCACGACGGTGGCCTTCGTGGGCTGGGGACCCCAGTGCGCCTTCGGCGGCGGGGCCGGCTTTTCGCGGTTGAACGCCTGCAGCGTGATGGTGATGCGCTTGACGTTATCCTCATCGTTCGGGAACTGTTGCCACTCGCGAGCCTTGGATTTGCAGTAGATGTTCACCTAGGTTGGTGGTTGCGACGGAAAGGGGCGCCGATACTAACCTCCTTGTTTGAGGGCATATTCTCGAGCTGCAGCGTGACGTAGGGGTGCTGATGGCCGGTCTGATTCCAGTATGGCAGCGGGCAAAGCGAGGCGCCAAGTACCGGGTATTGCCTGATGACCACCTGGAAGAAATAGGGGCGTCTATAAGTTTTTTTATGCGATTTGACGGGCCGCGCGGTAGGCAAATCTGTGGTTTAGTAGCCACCTTGGCGTCATCAGCCCAGCACTCGACGTTGAAGCGGTACCACTCGCAGCAATCTTCGATGGTGTATTGCGTGTTGTTGCCTCAAAGTCGGGTATGATATTTTTGTCAAAATTGCATTATATTTGAGGAAATACGGTCGCTTTTGCAGAGCCAGGCGATTTTTTTTGATTTCGCTGTCAACTAGCACAGCTTTTGGCTTAATTCAGCTCACGGCAACTCACTGGCACAGCGATGCTCCAGAATCTCGATGGCGTTTGCCAGGGTGTACTCCTGCGTCTGCTCCACGTAGCGGATGTGGTCCTAGAAAATGGGCGGTTTGGGCACACAACGACAGGACGTACAATCTGGATTGACGACGGGTAATCAGAACTGTTAGGCGCCGCCTTCCTGTCAAAGTAGAACTGGGTCAGGTCGTCCGGGTAAACGCCAAGAATCTGGAAATGTGAGTTGGGATTGAAAAAGGCGCGAAGAACAGAATTTTTTTGGCGGAAACACCCCCAAACCTTTGTGAAAGAGACGGCCAGGCAGGGGGTGCCGTATTCCCAGCCAAAGTGGTAGTCCTCGCGCCCAATGTTGAACCTAGGAACGGGTAAAAATTGGACTGGATGTCGCACTCCGTCAGCTCGCAGATCCCGAGCCCCAGGTACGGGTTTTTCTCGTTGGGGTCGACGGCCGGGCACGTCTCGTTGGTGAACCTAGATTAGGCAAATAACATGGGTAGGGCGAGGATATTAGAATCCGGTTCTGTATTTTTAGCGGGGGGGGGGGCAATTCTTCCCCCAATCGTATCATACGGCCGACTACCGAGATAGGCAGCATTTTATAGCGTTTTAAGCGATTTTTTAGAAATCAAAAATTAGCGAAATGCCCAACATTTTTTGAATTTGGGTCAAAAACGTAAAAAATAGCGAAATTTCATAGTTTTAATTTGGTTAAAATGTTTTTACGAACTTCCAGTCGTCAAAATGCTAAAAGCGCTATAGAAAAGGGTATTTTTGCTATGCTGGGAGTCAGGATGAACAAAGGAAGCGATGCCCCCGCTAAGGAACAAAAACCAAAACCAGCCCGGAATGAGCTGCCAGGGAATAGTATCAAAATCTCACCTCCCGTCCAGTTGGGCCATGCGTGCGCGGGAGCACGCTTTGCGCGTCCCATTGTACCCTTGATTCCGGTTAAAATGCGAAAAACTACGCATCCTTACTCTGGGCAAAGGAGTGCATCTGGCGCATCAACGCCGAGTACGACGCAAAGTTGTCCGTGTTGTACTTCAGCTCGCCGCCGGCCTTCTCGATGACCGCGTCCGGGTTGGGCTCGATGTAGACGGCTGAAAAGTATGTAATCTCACTCAGTGGACTAGTAGGTCATAACCCGGGACGACGCCGATGAACGAGCCGTAGCCGGTGTGCGTGGGCGCGTCTTTGTAGAGGTGGTAGGTGGGCACCATCACGATCAGCATGTACACGAAGATGATGACGTACAGCGTGAGCAGGTAGCAGATCATGGCGGCTAGAGAAAAAATATAGGTAAACGCATTTTCAAAGTGAAGATTTAGCAAATTTAACGTTTTATGGTTGAAAAAGGCTCAAAATTTGAACAAAACGGTTGATTTTATAGTTTTTTTAGGCGTGATTTTATCCACACGAAATACTCACCAGTATACGAAGGGGTCCAGTGGTAAATGGCCGGGTCCTCGCGCTTGGGCCCCTTGCGCCTGGGCCCATCGCCGTCCTTGGCGTTCGGGTCGACGAGGCGGACGCTCTTTTTCTGGCTCTTGTCGGCGACGCTCCTCGTCTGCGACTTGTTCGCGTCGCCCGCCTTGCTCAGCGTGCTCTTCTGGCTTTTCTGGCTCTTTTGGCTCTTCTCCGACGTCTGAAGGTGAAATTGTAAGGGGAAAAGGTACTGGACTGAGAGCGGGGGGAGGGCCCCCCCGTTATCAGAGAAATACCGTCGGAAAAGCCAACAAAAAACCCTCACGTCTTTGGCGGCCGATTTGGTCGACTTGTCGAAGGCGACCGACTTGGTGGCGCTTTTCTGAGCCGCCGGGCTGGCCATGCTCTTCGTGCTCTTGTCGGCGGCCGGCTGCTCGGAAGCTGCAAAACAAAACAAAAATATAACTCGAGGCAAGAAACTCACACTTGGAAAGGAGCGGCTGACGCGGGGAGTCCATTTTCTCGCAAGTGATGCGCCTGCTAATGATGGGGGATTTTCGCCGAAGAACCTATTTAAATGATTTGCTAGCTATGGAAATTAACTTTTGATGAAAATTATTCAATTTTGCGGTGTTTGCATACCATTCTCTAGGCGGCTACCGGAAGTGACGGGCTTTTCGTCTGCCCGCCCACAAGCTCATTGCTTTACTCGTTCAGCTCAAATGGTAGGCTCGTATTGGAAGGTATTCCAACTTTCTTGCTTTCAGGCTGACTCTCTGGGCAGCCTCTACGAGCAGATCGAGTCGGTTTTTCCAGATTGTTTTGCGCGCAAATGAGCTTTCTTTACCTTTCGCATAAAACGAGGCTATTTTCGATCGTTTTTGATCGTTTTTGATGACAAAACGGGCGTCAAAATCGTTAGAAAAGTCAAAATTTAAGCCATACTGAGCCAAACTGTAGGCGAACGGGGAATAAAGATCTAACAAATTTTTATTCCTTGCAGGTCGCTGGACGTGGCGACGGCCCGAGTAATTTCCTGGACCGACGTGAAAACGGCGCGCGAGATCCCGCCTGGTAAATTCGTTAACGGCTATTATTATTATGGGCTTCTTCCAGATATTCTGGCGGCCCACTCGGCCAAGCAGATGAGCTCGTTGTGCTATGGGGTCGGCGGGTTGGCCATTTTGACGTGTGCGCTAAAATCGATGACTTTTTAGCGTCGACGTGGTGGATACGCAAGGCGTCTGCAAGGCCGCCTCGTCGAGTGGGCTTCGCTGATAGCACTTTAGCTCACCTATTTCCAGCTGACCGTCTCTTCCGGCCGCCACCCGACGCGAAGCTGTGCACGGAGAGCGTACCTGGCACGTTTTTTACAACAAAATATCCTTTTGAAGCCTAGAATGTCTAGTAACTTAATAGAAAGTTTCATAAAAACTATAATTTAGCTAGAAAAATTATCTCAAGACTTTAAAAATTTTTCAAAAAGTCTTAATTTTGGACGAAAAATCGATAGTTGTTTGGTTCTGAAGTTTCCAGGAATTTCTATGACTTTTTGTTATACAAAAATGTATAAAATTTATGACGGGTTGCTGAAATAGTCTTACAAAAAACCATACGGCTTGATTCAAGTTTACGGTACTCTCCCAAAATGCGGTTTTTTGTGTTCAAATCGCTAAATAAAGGTCAGAAACGGACTCAGCGACAAAAATTAGGTGGCGGAAGGCACTTTTAAGGGGAGAAAACCTCATTTTAGTTTTGAGATCGGGTACCGTAAAGTAGTATACGGGGGTGACTACTTTACGGTACTCGCCCAAAATGTTCCTTTTTCTGCACGAATAGAAGCAGCAAGGTCTGAAACGTATTAATCAGCAAAAATAAGTGGGCGGAAAGGCCTATAAAGGAAAGATTCGGACACAGATTCCATCTCTCAATCACACCCAGTTTAAGCCTAAAAATAAGGCTTCGTGCCACCCGAAGCGACGGCCCACCTTGCGGACATGTCTAGCCTCAAACTTCGAAGTCTCAAATCATTCATTTTTAGGCCTTTCCGCCAAATTATTTTTGCTGCTCATCCGTTTCAGCCCTTACTGCTTCTTTTCGTGCAGAAAACTAAAATTTTGGGCGAGTACCGTAAAGTAGTCACCCCTATACTCTTTACGGTACCCGATTCAAACTAATGAGGTTTTCTCCCCTGTGCCTTCCGCCCCTTTTTTGTCGCTGGTCCGTTTCTGACCTTTATTAGCGATTTGAACCAAACCGCATTTTGGGAGAGTACCGTAAACCTGAATTTTCCCAACCATACTTCTAGCTGCGTCTCCCCACCGGGCGGCCGACCGATCGCCGAGCAGTGCAGAGATGATGGCCAACGACACGAGCGGCATCGACGAGAGCTTCTGCATGGACCGATCGGTGGTCTCGGTAAGGCCGCGCTGTCGCTACATAAAAAACAGTAAAATTTACTAAAACTAAGGTAGCACCCGTCCGGCCCCAAATTTTCGGATCTCGGCTCCCTGTTGGTCTACAGTGGTGTAAGGTATACCAGAATATTCGTCTTGCCCTGGCGAGTATTTTTGTATACTTTGCAGCCCTGTAGTGTAATTGGGAGCCAAGATACAGTCGGCGATGGTCGGCAAGGGGCTCCCCGACACTTGCGCCGCGGACACTTGCGCCGCGACATTTGCGCCGCGACACTTGCGCCCGACACTTGCGCCGCGGATCGTATATTGATTTAAACTTTAGTGAATTTGGTATTTCGCGCGAATTTTGTATGTAATTACTGTATTTTGCATTAAAAGCTGACAGAAAGTGAGTAACGCCAATTCGGAGCGTTGCTAAAGGCGTCAGGCAAGGTGGGCCGTCGCTCGATGGGCTGCCGCCCACTCTTTCGAAATCGGGGCGCCTGGCCGCTACGCGCCTGGCGCCCCGATTTCGAAACCCTGTACGAGCTCGCACCCATCCGAAGCGACTAAGCCCCGGGTGGCACGAAGCCTTTTTCTAGTCGCAGAGCGGAAGAAGTAGCAATTACCTTCTCTCCAAATCGAGTGACTCCTAGCGCAAAAACATCTTTCTATCGTTTCTTTAACCAGAATACTCCGCGCGAAAAATTGCATCTTCAAGTAGCTGAAACTCGGTATCGCGGCGCAAGTGTCGCGGCGCAAATGTCAGGCGCAAGTGATGCGGTACCCGGCAAGGGGTGTCTGCAGTTTTACTTCAGAAAAGAAATGCGATAATAATCATCAAACCTTCACCAGGTGCTCAGCGACTCGGCGACCGGCTCCTCCTTCACCTCCTCGGTACCATTCTTCCAACCGTCCCGCAACATTTGGCCTTGTTTCAGTACTGTACGACGTGCCAGACGACCTCTTGCATCCAGTACCACTGAACGCCCCCCGACCACTTATAACCCGCCGAACTATTCATTAAAAACATAATTAGAAACCCGTTAACATTATGTGCAGCGTCGCTTGTCACGAAATAAACTCGCTGCAGTCCAGCTGCAGCCTGCCTGCCTATCCACCACCACAAACCGGGAGCTCGACACTGAACATTTATCGGACGGGGTGCAGAAGTAAAAAGTAAAGTCGCAAAAATCAACAGCAACAACGGACAACAAGTGAGAACAGCATCCAAAATACATGCGCGTTTAGGGTTAAAAATCAGGGTAGCTAGGGCCAGCGCGGGGCGGGCAGATCGAAGCCGGAACGACGAGGGCCACCACGGCGCGGCGCCGGCTGAAATGGAAATTATAGGTCATAGAAGTTCGCAAGAAGTGTATTAATGCACATCAGGCGCTTTCGCATTATCGGGCATGGAGGGGGCTATTCGCTGTTATTAGGTGAAAGAAAATGCCTAGCAACCTGATACCTGATACCTCCTTATTATTTTTTTGGTAAATTTAACTAGCTTTTAAGTGCAACCACGTGAAAATCCCTCTCAAAATTGAGAAAATTTGATATTTTCGAAACTTTCCTAAGGAAAAAGTGCCCCCGCCCGATAATGCGGAAGCGCCAAATTCCGGAAATTTCAAATTACCGTAGGGTGTGGGGTGCCGGGGAAGAATCCATACATTTGAGGCGGGAATCCTGGATTCGCCATGCCTGGGTAGGCTCGATCACGCGGGTATCTGAATCAAGAAAATAAATTATAAGAAAAACGAAACTAATTACCCCATCGAAGCGTATGCCGCCTGTTCATAAGCAGGATGGGGGACGGGGCCTCGCTGCATCCCGTATGGCATCGGCAATGGAACGGGCGCTGGAAAAGGCGTGTTACAAGCGAATCACAAAAACAATTATCAGGACTAATTTCAAAAAGGTCAGTTTTTTAATAGTTTTTCAACTTCTAATAGGCTTGCTATATCATTAATCGGCATATTTTTTTTTTTTTTTTTTTTTTTTTTTTTTTTTTTTTTTTTTTTTTTTAATATTTTAATTTTTTTAAATAAAATTTTTTTTTTTATAATTTTAAATTTTTTAAATAAAAAAAAAAAAAAAAAATAATTTTTTTATTTTTTTTTTATTTTTTCCCCTTTTTTTTTTTTTTTTTTTTAAAAAAAATTTAATAATTTTAAAAAATTTTTAATTTAATAAAAAAATACATGAGGGCTTAGAGGAAAAACGTCTCCCCGCGCAATTTTGCAAAAAAAACTCCTTTCAAATGACCTATATCCTCCTAGAAAAAACGCACTGCCGTCAGGATTGTAGACTCGATGGTCCTCGTCCAGATCCCGAATCCGCACGTTGTTTTCCCGGAAAAACTCGGCACGGATGCTGCACGAATTGTTGAAGATATCTTCGCCGTTCAGCGCGTACTTGGCCGTTTTCGCCTCATCGATAGACGTGAACTCGATCAGCGCCTAAAAACATCTACCTCGGACACTAGCGATAAATACCTGAACGTATAGGTTGCGGCGCAGGACGACTATCTTCGTAATGTTCCCAAACTCGCAGGCAATCTTGTGGAACGTCTCGGCGCGCAGATAGTACCCATTCAATTCTTTCACCGTCACCGACAGCACCGGCGACGGGACCGCAGACTCCAGGGCCTTGCGCTCAATCGTTTTGATCTTCCTACAAAAAAATACAAGTGTGACAGCGCGAAACTCACGAATAAACGACCATCAAGGGCTTGTCGTGGATAGAAATCACCTCTCCCCGTGATACCGCCTCTAACGTGTCCAAGGCGCCTTCCAAACCCTAAAAACTTGTTTCGAAAAATCAAGGGTCTAACGTGAAACTCGACGAAAGCGTGGTGTCTGTTCAGATGGCTGATTTCCACGTAGTCGACCATCCCGAATTTCGAAAATCGGTCGACCAGGTCACCTTCGGTGATCTAAACACAGTGGTGGACGAGTAGTAAATACCTTGTCGGGCAGGCCAGCTACGAAGATGACTTGGGTCGGCGGATTCGACGAGACTCCCGGGGCGTTGTGGTTAGCATCGACGGCGGGCCTCGGATTCGCATCGGGAATGGCTGCCGGCGGCTCGTCGCTTGGTTCGGGCTTGAGCAACTCGGGATACTCGCTGCGCAGCGGTTCAATCACCGCGATCTCCTCTGAAACAAAATCTATATCAATACTGACCTATATTCTGAGTCGTTTTAAGCGCGTATTCTGTGCTAAAACCCGTCTAATTGGTAAAAAAAAACAATTTTGCCATAAAATTCCGTAAGTTTAGTCGATCAAAATTGGGTTTATATTAGTGGGACTACGGCATAATCGTTAAATCCCAGGAAGCCACTTGCAGCCACAGCGCGCAACCGCGAAAAAAGCAGACAAGGCATCGCTTGTTGTGCTCTGCCATTTACCTTGTTCTAACTTGATCGTCTTCAGCGGCGGTTCATCGCTTACATTCGTGCCGGCCTCGCTGACTGGGGCGAGCCGTTTTTGAGAGCTGCTGCTCGTCGCCTGAGTCAAAAATTTGGGAAAGACGCTTAGATAGATACCTCAGCTGTACCGCCCGGGTTGGTGGGGTCTTGCGAGTGCGTAGACGTGCCTGGACCTGCCGTTGCCTGGAAAGTACTCCATAAAAGCAAAAAAAGTTTCCTTACGGTCTCCGTTGCGGCGTGTGGACCCTGTTGACCCGGAGCAGCGGCTTCTGCCTCCACTTCGGCGTCGGTTGCGGCCATACTGCGTGCGGGTAACAAGACGGTAACCTGCAAGAAATGGATTATTTTGGAGGAGATGGAAAGGAGGAAGCCGCGGAGGCACAAAACTACGTGTAGTTGGGGGCTGGGGTCGGGGGTGGGGGGGGGGGTCGTGCGCGGGCGTGGCGGGG